TAGTGAAGCACTTTTTTTACTTAATCGTGATGTAGCAGCTAATCAATTACAAACATATCGTTCAAATAATGAACCTATACTTATGACTAGTTTATCAGGTATGCCTATTGGTGATAAAGTTTATTCATTAACAGCTGGTTCACGTGGTCCAATACTTTTACAAGATACATATTTACTTGATGAATTAGGTCAATTTAATGAAGAAAAAATTCCTGAACGTTGTTCATATAGTAAAGGTTCAGGTGCATTTGGATTTTTTCAATGTACAACAGATATTGGTTCAACATTAACACGTGCAAATTTTCTTGATACACGAAATAAACAAACACCAATAGTAATAAGATTTTCACGTTTTCGTAGTGAATTAGGTAGTTCAGATACAATACGTGATATACGTGGTATGGCAATTAAATTTTATACTGATTGTGGAAATTTTGATTTAATATGTAATCATTTACCTGTTTTCTTTATTCGTGATCCAATTCTTTATCCATCACTTGTACATTCACAAAAACGAAATCCTGTTACAAATCTTTTTGATTATGATGCTTATTGGGATTTTTTAACATTAAGACCAGAAACTACACATTGTCTTGTAAGTATTGAAAAAGAATTACTCGTATTTCTTTTCTTTTTTTGTATACGATAAAGTAATTTTCTCGCTTGTCTATAAATCAATTTATTTAAGATGTTTTTTTCATAATTTTGTTTTGAAATATGATCGGAAAAGACTGTTGAAATATGAGAATAAAAATTTGAACTTCGTATTTCATAGATGGTTGATATACGATCAAAAGAGAGACTTTTGGATGTTATAACAATTAGTGATAATGAAAAATTGATCCGTATGATTCAGAGAAATGTTCATTTCTAATAAATCTTTATCTGTAGGCATTGATTTAATGACATACAAAACTAACAGCAACATGTAACAAATGAAAATTATAATAATATTGATATATACATTTTGAATATATCAAAATATTACGAAAAGAGAAAAAAAAAAGCACTATATTCATCATCGAATTACAAAAGCTGTAGGCGGATAGGAGTACCAAAAACAAAATAAGGAAAATTTATAGAAGATGATAGAGAATCTTTACAGCAATTATTACTTACTCTTATGTAAGGCTTTATATTTAGTTAGAAGAGTGCAATAAACATTCGTATTTATACTTATGTCTAATGTTTCTTGTCCTTGAATAGATGATTTTCTAGGTCTCTTAGAATTATTATTTCTTCACAATGATAAGAAAATTATCTTTACTAATTTTATTGTTCAATATCGCGATTAATCATATATCAATAACGTCTCATTATTGATTTGCATTTCAAAGAGATATTGAAGAAATAAATCCTAACATCAATAAAAATAGAACAATTATCCTACGATTAATAACAACAGTTACATTGTAATTCATATTTTAGTTCCGTAGAGATTCTATTAATAGTTTTTTTTTTTTTTGTTCTCATAAAATAATTATAAACAATCTTGTATTCTAGATATTACTCTATAGTCATCGTGGTATACCAAATGGTTATCGTTATATGAATGGTTATTCAATAAATACATATAAATTTATATCACGTGATAATGATATATCATATGTTCGTTTTCATATTAAATCAAATCAAGGTATATGTTCAATTGATCCAACTAAAGCACTTGTATTAGCTGGTCTTGATAGTGATTATGCTACACGTGATCTTTATAATACAATATGTATTAATAAAGATTTACCATCATGGACATTATGTATACAACAAATGAATGAACAAGAAATGAAAAATTCATTATTTGATCCATTTGATACAACAAAAATTTGGCCAAAAACATATTATCCATTAATATCATTAGGAACAATTATATTAAATCGTTTACCAATAAATTATTTTTCTGAAATTGAACAATTAGCTTTTTCACCAGCTAATCTTGTACCTGGTATTGAATTATCACAAGATAAAATGTTACAAGCACGTATATTTGCTTATTCTGATGCACAACGTTATCGTTTAGGTAAAAATTATTCACAATTACCTGTTAATCGTTCATTAAATATAATAGCAAATAATTATCGTGATGGTTATATGTGTTTAAATAATCAAAATGGTGCACCAAATTATTTTCCAAATAGTTTTCATGGTGCAACAACATCATATCGTTTTAAAGAAACAATTTATTCTATTGAAGGTAATGTTGCACGTTATGAATGTTCAAATGATAATGATGAATTTAGTCAAGCTAAAACATTTTATCGACAAATATTAAATTCAAATGAACGAATAAATTTAGCAAGAAATTTAGCTAAAAGTTTAATATTAACACAACAATTTATTTGTAAAAGAGCATTAGAAAATTTTTCAAATGTTGATCAAGATTTAGTAAATGATATTCAACATTTTCTTAATTTACAACGACCAATTAAAATGGAAGATTCAAGTATTCAAGCAGATCTTGAACGAAAAATTTAATTGAAATATAAAGAATTAAATATATTTCGAGGTTTAATATAAAATTCAATTTTACAGAACTTGAACTCAACAATAAAAATCAGAAACTTTAAGAGACAATAAATGTTGATTTTTCATATGGTTCACGCGACATAATTGTATTCTTTCCTAATAAGATAATAATTAAAGTAAAATGAGATTTATTGTTAATTATGTTCACATACCTATTGTCTTTTGAACGTGATAAATAATCACGTTCAATCAACAATTCAATGCGATTTTTGATTACTTGTGAATTTGGTAGAAAGCGCACTTTGAGTTCACTTATAACCTGAAAACAATGATAAATTCAATAAGTAAACTTTGAAGTTGGTCAAGATAAGGAAATGCACCTCATTAATCAACTCAGTATGTTCCATAGTTTTATTCTTCTTCATAATTCGCACAATTGTCGCATCGATTTCATGACAACGATCGATCTCAACTTTATTTCGAGTTTCTTCCCGTTCTTTATTGTTTTCAGTTTTTTCTAAAGTTGACTTTACTTTTACACGGTAACTTTTTGATATAAACGAATCGTTAACATAAAATTGATCACTTGATTGAATATTGTTGTTTTGAGGCTCTTTAAGAAGTATTGGTTTTGTCGTTTTACTCATGATTAACGGTAATAAAGTACACTGAAGATGCGGTTCATTGATATCGGTTTCTTGATGAATTTCCTGGAATAAATAAATAATGGAATTATCCAAATAAAAATATATCAAATAATTATCACATTCGTTGATATACTAAATTGCATTGATTGAAATTTTGTTTTAATAAACAATTGCGGATAGTTGATTCACATTTTTCAAAATACTTTTATATGATGAACTAGACTATTAGCGTGATCTCTGTTGGATTGAAATGTAAAACATAATATGGTTACTTCTAGTAATTACAGGAAGCTTGTTCTAATCTATCTGGTTTGTGGTACATATTTAAGTCAACCGTTTACTTATTTCTTCGGAACGTAGCTCAATAAATAGTCCATATATTTGGATAAGACACTATTGATGCATGGCTTTTGATTATGTATCAGAAATGTCTTCCATAAGCTGTGATAGAATCTTCGAGTGTCGGCCATGTTCATTAAGGAGTCTTTAATGAAATACTAATTATATGTAAATTAGTCAATGAAATCAATGTGTATGACGATCTTTGTAAAGCGTGCCGACCTGGGTTCCATTGTCCATTCGATACATCTCAATATTTCTTTTAGAAGCATTCGTCAAAAAGACAGCTAAGAATAGACTCACGTCAATCTTTCCTAGTTCTACTACACTCGACCAGACGGCAATTTTTACGAATTAGGTGAAGTTTATTCCTCTATCATATCCCATTGAAAACTTACTTCAAAGGACCACGACTCTTTCCTATTAAATAGCATCAAGATGACCATTTGATAAGTTGATACTTGTAATAAATGTTCTCGTTTCTCCATTATTTGTATCGTCAATTGTGATTCTCTGTTTTCATTATCAGTGCTGGATTTATCATAAAATTTTGCGGTCAACTCTGCGTTACCTAAACTTGGTTCTAATACTAACCGACGACCGGTGTGTTTTTTCATATAGAAATCGTAAAAATATTCATAGGCTTTGCGCAATATCTCTGGTAGATTGCACTGATTATTCACATTCGGAAGAGGCCAAAAGCCTTTTGTTAAAACTCGTATAGAAAGATCAATGCCATGCAAATCGATTGATTTATTAACAATAGAACATTTAAATTCGTCCATTCGAGTTTTCGATATCAATATATCTTTGATCATAATTTCCAATTGATTCGTGAATTGACCGTCACATTTGGTTCTTAGTCGTAAAATCATCTTTTCTTCCTTATTGTCCGATAGAGATTGTTGCGAAAGAAGACGTTGAGCGAAATGTTTTCGGTAATATCGTTCGAAAACATCCTTCTCTCTCAAATAATCCATTAACATTGTTGTTTTATCAAGAAGAATGTCTAATTCTTGATCATCATCCTCATTATCACTTTTCTTCAATTTATCATTGATAAATAAGGATAAATATTTTGAGATATTTTGATTTGAATTGATAAAATACTCAATATCAGAAACAATACGTCTTTTGCATATCTACATCAAATACAATATGATCTTGTTAATTAAAAGTTATTAGTGCAAAATCGAATGAGTTCAAAATATGAAACACGACTTGACTGTTGTTGCTAACTACACGGAAACTTTTGTATTCAATCTGTTTTGAGATATATTTCTTCATTATCATTTGCTTAATCCTTTAGTCTGTCGCACTCTGTGACTGAAGAAGACGGTATCTCTATCTCTGATGGTCTCTAGGACCTGAAAATGGGTCCGAATTTTCCACTTATACATTTCAAGATTCTTTTCGGATCGTGTTTCACAAAACAGAAATTTGTATAGAAGCAAAACTGACTTCATCTCCAAGCGATGTTGTTTTGAGGAAGATGTCAAAGATATTTTTCAAATCTAATAAATTCTAAATAAAAATAAATAATCAATTCTGTTAATCAATTGATAAATTTACTTGAACATAGTTGTTGATGAATTGGTTTTCATTTATATTGTCCATCATTTTCTGCAACATTCCTTTGAAATCTTGATAGTATTGTTCAAAAAAATCTTTCTCTTTGAAATAATCTAGGAGTATCATTGCTTTAAAAAGTACAACAAGTTCTTCATTATCAAGAGATTTAACACCTTTTTTTAATTTATTTTCGATTACTAACGGCAGATATTCAGTACGATGTTGATTTAAATTACTGTCATTGTTGAAATTAAATTTAATTCGTTGTTCTACTGATTGATTATCATCAAGTAAAATTTTACAAATGATCTCGAATACGTCTTTTAATTCAAATAAATTTTGAACAAAACGAATATGATTAATTTCTTCGTCTCTATTTTCGCTAGTTAATCCTTTTCTTTGTTCTTGAATATACTCATTAACGCAATCGTCTATTATTAAATGACAATCTAGAACCCGTTGGAACAATTTATACATCATAGTCAAGTCATCCCATTTCTTAGATTTAAGCATATAAACTACACCTGAATTTTCCATTTCTGCAACTTTCTTCGCATGATTTCTAATTAATACTTCTTCCATCACTTGAACAATACGATTTTCTGTTGATTTATCAAAGCAATAAATGGCACGCTCGGATTCTTCATGAATACGTGCGAATACCTTACGAATATAATCAGATGCATTGTTCTCGGCAAGTAATTTTTCACTCTCTCGTTGATAAAATTCAGTGGAATGCTGTAGAAATGGTGTTTCGAAAAACTCGGCGTAGATATGACGACTATCATTACCCACGCTTATTAACATTTTACAGATATCTTTCACAAGTGTCTTATCTACAATTTCACCGCACCGCTCGTTGTCAATTACTTCTATTAAAGCTTCCATAAGACGTTTTTGGATCATCGAATCTTGGAGAATATTTGTATGAAACAGAGTAAGACCCATGTTGTAAATAGGTTCAAGTCTTTTTTCTCGAACATAGAATCGCTCCAAGGATATGAAAACATCACGAATTCCCACTATAGCCGCACGATAATCGTTCCAGGCTGATTTGACTGTATTCAATAGCTGCACTGAAGACGATTCTAAAATACGTGGTCTCAACTAAATGAACGTACAGTAAAATTCATGAATGTAACGAAAAAAAGTAGTAATGCATTATACTTCTGTGACAAGATATTCAGTGATCAATGTTCGAGTACCCCTATACACTCTCTCGCCATGTTTATGCACAACCATTGTGTAGCAGACTCTATAGAGCTCTTCGAAGTTTTCAACGGTAGACCTCGTTAGAAGCAATTGAATGTGCTTTTTCAACGTGCCATTCCAGAGATCATCCAATTCTTGGTCTTCCACTGTCCCCTGAAAAAAATAAACAAGATATCAAATTTCGAATATTACTAAAACAATAGTAGTAGTAATAGGCTTTCAGAAGCTAACGTCTTCCTTGTTAAGTAAGCAGTTTCAATTTTCTTCGTTAGAAGATATTCATTAAAGTAGTATGGCAACTTATTTCTATTGTAAATGAACAACGACTTAATATTCGATTGATTGATGTCTTATTACAAAATTATTGCTGTTGAAATCTATTCCTTGTTCACGTTCGCTTTAATTTTAGACTACACGATGTGCATGTTGAATTCACTTGTGAAAGCAGTATACTTTTCATGAATAAGCGAAAATAAAAATTAATCAATAATTGTAAGCGTCAATTCATTAATTGATTTCATGCTATGTTTTTTTCCTATTTTCAACTATTCTTTGTTTATTCTACGTCTTTTTACAGGTACTAGAATTCTACGATACACCAAAAGTTCGGTGGAATTCAATACAATGGCCTAGTTCTTTTTTATCTACTTGTGTTCTAAATTTCTGCTAATTTTCTAATATAATTTTCAGCAGAGCGAACGTCAGGATTTACGATCGAGCACTTCACTATTGACTCGTCTCATATATCACACAATAGTTTTCAAGTATAGCTTTTTTTTCTATGAAATCTATTCGTTCTATCGTCCTTTTTATTCGTGATGATGTTGATGGTCACATGCTTTTATTGGGAGTGTTCATTTCATAACAATTTATGTTTGCAAATTAAACATACGTATTTTTTCTTTCATTAATCAAAGCAATTTTTTCTTTAAATATTGACAAAGAAATATGTGAAAAAATCTGAATAACGAATGTGCAAAATATCAACATTATTATTGAAAGAAATCAAGCAATGTTGGATAATACTTACAAAAAATTGACGGATTTTGAATTTTTTCTTCTCATTGTTTATATTATTGGGTGTTTCACTCATTGTTTCTTTAATTGAAGAAGTAACTATAGATAATACCTCGAACAACGTGCACAGTCGAATTGAGAAAATGCACACAACGTAATTGAGAGTTATGTAAGTCTAGTATTACTACTAAAGATTTGCCGAAGTGTATTACGGATAAATAATCTAAAATAAATGATACAATATTAATGACGAAGAAAACGACATTTCGATGATTTTGAGCATCCAATTGAGGAAAGGTGCTGCTATTGTTTACGAAATATTCCATATACACCTTGCGAATAACGAAAAGTTGTTACTATAGTCACATATTAGTTGATTGATTGCACGAGAAATTTTTATATTCCTACTTCCTCACCAAGCCAAAAGAACAGCGAAATTGCATCATCGTGCACATGTCTGTATCGTTGATAAGAGACATAAAGCGAACAAATAAAAAAACAAAGTTGAGGAGGCAAAAAAGAGAAAAAAACTGGCGAACTAGAATACTAAATACGATTAGGACACGAGATTTCAGCATGCAGAGAGTAGGCGTTAATGCTTGGCTAATCTTAAATCATGTATAAAAGCTTATATTGTATTGATGGCAATTGTATTTCTAATATTCCAGTTTTATATTAAATTAATCGAGGATACACCAATATACATTTTTATTAATTACACATCTCTGAAAGTAAAATGTAAAATCGAAATAATCACAGTGTTGTAATAAGTCTCACAGGTAACTGTATCATAACGAAACACGATATGTAAATGAATGAATCACATCAGAGCATCAATATAGGAAAAAAATAAAGTATATCACTGAATGAAACAAATAGAAACATGACCAAAAAGAAAGAGAACGAAAAGTATATTGGTATGGTCGGAAGTTGAAGTCCAGAATCTACCTTTATCCACAAGCGTTCGTTCTCAGGAATTTTTTCTAGTCTAGCGAAAGTTTCGAAAATATTGTGTTAGAAGGAATATTTCTGGAAATTTCTGTTTAGGCATTTAACTTTTATAAACTCGATTACTTGGAACGAATATTGAAAGTAAATTGTTTTAAAAGATTTTTATAAAAATTTATTTTTTTTACGAAGCATGCTGCAATTTGTAGAGGTCGTTAGTTTTTCTCACAATAAAAACTTTTTAAGACTCAGATATAGTTATTGCAATTTGTAGAGGGCGCAAGTTTTTGATCAGAGAAATTTTTTAAATTTAGTGTCATTGCTGTAATTTTTAGAGGACGTTAGGTTTTTGTTGAATTAAAAGTTTTCTTTGAATCTAGCTTCGAAGAATATTTAATGGAAGTCAAAAATAGAATGTACCAGCAGTTTTTTTTCTTTTGTTATTGATAAACTAATACTCATAGTGCACAAGCAAGGGTCGTCGATTTTGGCTGCACTAAGAACGATTTCAGTTCAAGACAAAGCGAGTTTTTAAGGAGATTGTATCATAACTTGTTGTGATAATTTGACATTTGTTCTGACTGTAATGTGGACGAATCGAACTGTGTTCTTCAGGAGAAGACGCTCATTAACATCTATATTTCTGAGCCGTCTTTTTTAGAACATCATTTTTTGTATTTATGATTTTTGTCTATAAATGCTTTTGCACCCAAATCAGTGATCTCCTTTTAATGTTCGATTCCATTTTACTATCATAATTATATAGTCTGTTCAAAATCAAAAACAGCTGATGACATTAATAGTAACAATTATGTCTGACGAACTCAGTCAATAATGAGTAAAAAAGGCACTACTATATTTTAGCTCACTCTACAAATTACAGCTCATTAAATTGAAATAATGAAACTCAATCTTTAGCGAACTCTATGAATTTCAACAAGTTTAAAAATATAATTGAAATTTTAAATTGTTTTCAAAATTGTTATCAGTAAATTTTTTTGAAATTTGAAAACCGAAAATTTTGAGACCTAAGATTGTTTTAAATTTGAATAAATTAAATTTAAAAACCAACTGAAATTTAATTTAAGAGATTTTTAATTTCTATTTTATGTTCGCAAATGAGAGGACACGGGTATTTTTTGGGCGTCAGTCACAAAAATATTCCTTGATTGATGATCCATAAGTTTCTAACTGTTCAAGGTAAACGAACTTTCCCTCTGTTATTAATTACAGAATTTGAAATTCCAGCATTATAATTAAACAGTATCCTACTTAAAGGATGAAAAGCTATTGCTAAATTTATATCAACGAAAATTTTTCAATTATAAAGCTCCTTTTGTTATAAAAATAAATCTTGCAAAATGCAAATACGATACACCCAACAAACATATATTTGAAAAAATTAATTGAAGACCATAATTGCAAATGAACATTAAATAAAGTTTGAATTTGATACAGTAGCCAAGACGGGTATGGGCATGAATAGTTAGCGTAATCACATTTACATTCTTCAATTTACAAGACGATTGAACATTACGTTGCAGAGATATCAAAAAATCATTAACTCTCGTACAGAATTGAGGCAAATTCTTTTGTTATTAACAGTACATATAATTAGGAAATGTGAATTGTACGCGATATTAAAATTAAAAGGATCTCTCTTAACTGTATAAAGCAAATCAAGTTTTCATTGAAAATTTTAGCTACTTTCAGTAGTTTTTTTATTCTGTAATTCATGTCAAATTTACGACACTGAAAAAATGAAACAACATGAAAATTCGATAATGACTGAGTGATTACAAGAACTAATTTTAACTTTTAATTTAATGACAAGAGACTTATACTTAAAACACATAATGGTACTGTTCAATTTTTGATGACAATAAGAACTTATTCAAATAAAATTATCTTTCTGTGTTTCTTTAATCTGTTCACTATTTCAAGTTCAATTATTGGTCTATCCACTCAGCCAACTCTTATTGAAATGGTTTGATGTTACCAGTTATTAACAAAGAAAAACGACGAAATTTTATACCGAGAACTGTTGTCGTTGTCTAATAGTGTTTTTTTTTAACCCTGATACGACCACTTTTCAGACTATCACTTATTGACCACCTGGAGTCTGTACGGACCCAGCCTGATAAAATGAAAACAATATACTATATTATCATTGTTTTGTAATAGAACTATAGTGGTTCTGAAGAAGACTTATGTCTAAGAAGAACAAACAAAACAGCAATTAATTTTAATAGCATTTTTTCAATATTTTTTACGTTGCTCTTTTTTGTAGCATTATTTCGGCAACATGTATTGTCACTGAAAGCTCATTGTTCCTGAAGTAACGCTCATTTTTACAGCATCGGTCTAATTTATTATTGTCATCAGTGTACTCTACTAGGTGTCCCTAAAGTGTACGTGAAAGAATAAGATCCTATTTAAGGCTGCAATTAAAATAAATTAAACAGAATTTCACTAGACAACAAACGTTCACACATACTTCCAGGTAGTTTATCATATAAACAACTAATTGTGACGAACGGCTGCCGTCAGCTACGTATAGTACAAATCTTCACTAGAGCATATCTAGAGAAGGGGGATTTTATCTGATGTTGTGTGTGAATGACACTTAAATAAAACTGGTTGGGGTCCAGATGAACCCTGGGTGTACGTGTCAGGGTTAATTTCAATTTTTATAATGGATTTCATGATTGCCTATCACAATGCAATATATATAACACCATTGTTTTCGCACTCGACCTGCGAATGATAGAACATATGGCACTCATAGTGTTTCGTCGTAGAACTAGAAATAAGCACACATTGTTCAGAATAAAGAGGCGCTTATATTTGAGAAACTCATTTCTAATGAATTTCACTTGAACAAACTATAGATTGTCCAATGTAATGAGTTGCTCACATTGAAAGATTTTACTTGAAATTCATTCTTAGTAATAAAAAGAAATCTCTCTATGATCTATACTCTTCAGATTTATTCACATTATAAAATATAATTAAGCTTGACTTGCTTATCTATACTTGATATTCACTATCAAAAATTACCATAAAACAATAATAAAAAAAAAAACCAAAAAATTTATAAAAGCGTTTTTTTTCTATGAATATTGAATAAAATCTATTACTTGCTTGAATAACATTTATTAGTATGAATGAAATTTTTTTGTTTATCAAACATAACCATACTATGCAAAAAAAAACAAGAACTCATAGTTCAATATCTCCCGAATAAATTCAAAATTTGATTTCATCAAAACATATCTAAATAATGTTACTTTTTTCTTTTTTTTTTAACTTTAATATTTCTAACTAAAACAAAAAAAGTGAGAAATATGCAAGAGATGAATAAATAAAGTCAGAAGATTAGCACATACACACAAAAAAACAATAAATGAAAACAACTAACTATCTTTAAACATAAAATAACAAAGGCCCGATTAAATTTGTCTTTCAAAAAACAAAATAATAACAATATTAAGATAAAAGAAACAAGACACAAAAACAAATAACCATATTTGGTTAAGAAATCGTCTAGTTCAGATATGCTAATGCAAATTAAAAGAAAAAAAAACAACAACTTTGCTTCTTTTTTAAGACTAGAACAAAAAAAAAAGAAAAGGAAAATCAATTATTATTTTTATAAGTCTTCGGTATTTTTTGTCTTGTTTAAATATTTTCTCTTAAACGCATTTTTCTTCCACGAAGAACTAAAAAAATAATAATATTAATGATATAGAAAAAAAAAATCCTCTTTTTTTCCTACCTCTTGTTATATAAAGATAAAAAAAATCACAATAAAGAACTGTTTGAACAATACCAGATACAATAGAAATCCAATCAAGATGATCTTCCATATAATAACGATAAATCCAATTAAGAATATATAAAAATCGATATATACCCAATGCAAATAAATAATGACTTGTTATTGTTTCAGCTTCACCTGTTTTACTAACCATATATAATTGAGGAAGTATAGCAACAGATTCAAGATAAATTGAAAATGTCCAAAGAATCTTAAAAAACCAAAAAAAATAAAATAAAATTCATATTTTTCAATAATTAACTTACTTCAAATACTGAAAAATCATTATTCCATACAAATGCAAGTGCAAGTGTTGGTAATATTAATAATTCAATACGAAATGAATCATGATTACGATCATATGTTGTTTTAAATTTAATATAAATTAAATAAAGTGTAAATGTTGTTGAAACAAGATAAATTACTTTCATTATTGTATTATAAATACTAACATAATGTATAAATAAATCCAAATAACGACATATGAATACAAGATCATAAAGTAAAACACTTTTACCAGATACACCTATATTAAATATATAAGAAAACAAGTCATATTGACATTCAAAAAAAAAAAGAAAAAAACATATTGCGTACCAGCACATGAACGTGTTGTCCAGATCTTAAGTAATAAAATAATAATAGCTGCTAAATGAGAAAAGTCGCCTAATAAACGAAAGATATTCATTTTATGAACACTATTGATGTGTTTATCCTAGACAATATTTTAAATAAGGATGAAAGGCATCAGATGTGACAATGAATAATAATAATATACACAATAATCACTACTCAAAGTCATTGGAGGTAGTACGTGGCTTTCAAAGTCATATGAAAAACCAATCAAAAAAATTTTTTCTTAAATTTATTTTTGACAATCGTATAGAATTATTTATACATTATTCTTATATTAACTTTAATATGAATTTGTATTCTTTTTTTTTTGATCGATATATTCTATTCTAAATAATAAGATGGCGCTAGAAATCGAATGATATATCTTATATTAAAAGAAAATCTGTACTAATATTGATAGTACCTCCTGGTAATCTTCCATTTCTCTATTGCTTTTGTACTTATCTTTCTTCTATATAAGCGTATGTTATATATGAAGCAGCTCAATTAACATTATTACCGAAGGAGGTGGTAAGATATCCCTCAAATGTACCATTACAAAATCAAATAAGCATTTAGCTGTACACATATAGATAGTTATGTTAAGCATTAATTACTGCTCATCGTTGTCTTGTTTGATATTCTATTAAGGGAGATCCGCTAAAACATTACTGTAATATAAAACCATTTCAAGTAAGATCAATTGTCTTCTCTATACAAAAAAATAACTGATAAAATATTCAAAAAATTTTTAAAAAAATATTCTTAATGTTCAATATATGTGTAATTGTCTTTTTATATTTCATTTATCTTTTCTTCGAATTCAAAATATTTGGAAATATTCTAACATTAAATCTGAATAAAATTCTATTTAAAGTTCTAATTAAGTTTGATAATATTTTATATGATTGGTTAGGATATTTTTACCAATGACATAGATGTTATTTTCAATAAACAAAAGATCATGATAAATTCAGGTAAAAAAAGAAAAAAAGTACATATATTTTTATATATACAATTATTCAGTCATGATTTCGAATATAATAGATCAAAAAAATTATTAAATAATAATTATATATTTCATTGATTTTACATCTATTATCAAAGAACAAAAATTATTCTTTCATATTAAGTATATAAATGTATAGAATTCAATATTTATTACTTTTATTCAATATTTCTAATAATTTACAATGTCGAAAATTTTCGATAATTTATTATCAACTAAATCTTTACATTCAAAAGATCCTATTGATCAATATATTTTCAATCATTCACTTCGTTATACATCTGAACAACTTGAACTTTTAGAAGATATTAAAAATTTACCAGGTACAAAGAATTCTGTTTTTTATTAAAATAAAATGTTATCGAGATGTTTTTTGTTTTTTATTTTCATACTAAAGAAAAAATTCAACCATGGTTAGGATCAACAGATGAAGCACAATTTTTTCAAATACTTATTCGACTTATGAATGGCAAACGAGCAAGTAAAATATTTTATGTTCTTTTCATTCTCACATACATCCCCGAAACAACAAAATATGCATAAAAATCTATCTTTAATTCATATAAAAGTATAAATAATTATGAAGATAGAATTCGAATATTTTGTTTATCTAGTCTAATGAAAAAAAAAAAAAAACATTATTCAAATGTTAATTAAAAAACTATTTTAAGAAGAATTTTTTTTGTGGCAAGATTTATGATAGATAAGTATACATTCCTATTTGGAATGTTGTATACAAATAGTTCATACTTTTATAATTCTTTATTAAAAGAATGTATTCTATGAAAAGTATTAAAAAAATCAAAAAATGATTATTTCAAAAATTTTATTCAATTCTTTTTTTGTTTCTAGTCGAAATTGGTACATTTACTGGTTATACATCATTAACTATTGCTTTAGCACTTCCATCTGATGGTGAATTAATAACATGTGATATAACAGATGAATATGTTCGTCAAGATATATGGATAAAAGCTGGTGTACGAAATAAAATTAATTTACAAATTCGTCCAGCATTAGAAACTTTACATAATTTACTTGAAAAATATGGTGAAAATTCATTTGATTTTATATTTATTGATGGTGATAAAAAAAATTATCTTCAATATTATGAATTATCACTTCAATTAATACATTCAAATGGTTTAATTGCAATTGATAATACTTTATGGAATGGACGTGTATTAAATAAAAATGATACATCAATTGAAACTATAACAATACGTCAAATAAATGAACTGATTAAAAATGATAATCGTGTTGATATAAGTTTTTTAAGATTAGGTGACGGAACAACATTTTGTCGAAAAAAATAAAATTTATATACTAAATGATTTTTTCCCTTCTTTGGTATTTTCTAGTTTTTATCATAAGACCTTTTTGAATTTATTA